TAATCAACTAAAACTACTTTTCTTTTATGGTTTTACTATTTTGTACATTTTAATTATTATTAAAATCAAAGTACATAGTCCAGATTAGCACAATTTGAGTGTTTTTGTGTATCTATAAAACAAAAGTTTTTAAAATATTTAATAATTTTTCTTGCAGAACTAAGCGGGAATATCGTCTCTTCGTGGGACTTTGGTTTGGGCAACATAAACCTATCTTTCAAACATTCATGCAACCATTTGCAATTGCATTAAAGGACATCTTTCATAAAGGTACAGCAGATATGGGTAACTTAATATTTGAATATTAAAACAATATGATACGTCATGTTTTTTCAATCTACTGCATACACATTATTGCAAAAAGGTTATCCTATGAAAAAGAAATTGAGCAAGTTTAGGGAATACATTAAGCTATAAAATGAAAATTGTTCAGATTCGGCAATTTCTTTTTGTCTTTTGGTTAATATTTGACTTGTTACATTTTATAAATGTTCCATTTTTAAAGGACAATGTTTTTGTAATTAGGTGTATATTGTAAATTAATAAAATTCAATGTAATCTACTTAAACCATTTTCTGTGTATATCTAAAATTTCAGGCACACCAGTAGTCATTAAGCAACAAGAAAAAATACTCAGATGTATTCTTCTGTTTGGAACATTTGATGCACCAGCAAAATGTATGTTTCAACAGTTTTGTCAATATAATGGGTTCTTTGGATGTCCATACTGTTTACATCCAGGGGAATCAGTAAAAACAAGTGAAAGGGGCCATACACTTGCATATCCATTCACAGAAACCAATTTGCAGACTGGGCATGGTATTGAAAGAACTCATGAACAAACACTTAAGTTTGCAGCCATAGCAACTGAAAAAGCTGCAAAAAGTGGTATCGAAACAAATGAAAATGGTGTTAAAGGATTCAGTTGGAGTGTATTTATTCCACGTTTCGACATAATTAGAGGGTGTGCTATTGATTATATGCATTGCACTTTACTTGGAGTTGTCAAGATGCTACTAACACTATGGCTGAATAAGTCCTTTAATAAACAGCCCTGGTCATTGAGTAAACAGATAGCAAAGCTTGATTCAAGATATTTAAATATGTCACCACCTTCTTGTATCACTCGCCTTCCCAGAAGTCTTGCTTCTAACTTTGGACACTTAAAAGCCTCTGAACTCAGAACCTTTTTGTTATTTTATTCAATTCCATGCCTATATGGTTTATTGCCAGACATATACTTTCAACATTATATTCTTTTAGTTGAAAGTATTTATTTACTCCTTCAAGAATCAATTTCAATTGAAGATGTTAAAAAAGCTAGTACCCTTCTAAAACACTTCTGTCTTAAAATTGGAGAATTATATGGCCCCCGATATGAGACCTTCAATGTACACTGTCTACTGCACATGGCAGAGAGAGTTTGTGATTTGGGACCATTATGGACCCACTCATGTTTTGCATTTGAAGATTTTAACGGTGAGCTCCGAAACATGTTCCATGGAACACAGAGCGTTGATGGTCAACTAGTGCTTGCAGTGAGTATACAACAAAAGCTTCCAGAGCTCATTCCCTTGTTGACAGAAGGATCTGCAGCAAAAGAATTGTATGACAAACTGGATCATGGGAATCAGTCTCAAATCCAGAAAGAGGTTATTGCTGATGGTATTTTCAGAGTTCTTCCCTTTAAAGTGTGCCAATTGTCTCTTGAGGAGAAAACAGCAATTGAGTCATTAAATGGCCCTGTGTCCACAAAGGTTCAAAAGTTCCAAAGAGTTGTCCTTGGAAATCAAATAGTTCATTGCAAAAATTACATGTTGATGACAAAGAGAAATAATTACACAATACAATATACTTCAGATACTGTTCTCAAATCTTCTGCATATGGACAAATCCATTACTTCATTACCTGTTATTCCAAATGCCCTAACCCAAATTTTTGCTCTGATTCATGTCTATGCAAGGATCCTCATCATTTAGCAATTATTAACCATCTCCGACAAAACAAGGACTTAGTTCTTGAAAATGATTTGCATACCAATGCAAAGTTAAGTCATCTAATCCCTGTTGTTAAAGAGGAGACTCTTAAAGCTATAAGAATTCAACAGATTGACAAGCTGTGTGTCTACATTAAATGTGACAATAATGCCTTTGTTGGCATTTTTCCCAATCAATATGAGAAAGACTAGAGAGCAATTAGTATACGCATGAAATACAGTCAAGTGCAAATAAAAATAATATGTGTAAATACAGCCAGTGGTAAAATATTGCTGTCAATGTTGGTTTATACATACAAACTCTACCAGTTGTATAATAATCATAGAATAAGTTGAATTGTTTGTTACCTATACATAGATGATTTTATTTTAGACCTTAGATAACAAATATTTCTAGTCAATTGTATATGATATCGTCCTTTGTGCCTTGATAAAGATTGTTCATATGGAGTTTAATCAAAGTTAAGAATACTCTAATAAAGATTACCTGTAACAAGCAGTGATTATAGCAATTGTCTGACAACAAGTTTGGCAAATTGTCATAGCTTACTAAAATTAAATATAAGTGATGTATCCATCCACTCTACAAAAAAGGTCTGGTTATATTAAAGGGGAGGCAGCATAGCCAGGTCATATAGCATTGGTGTATCGTAATCTGGCTGTCCTAGATTGAATGACGATTATTATTATTATTACTATTATTGTTGTTGTTATTATTATTAATAATAAAATATACTAATTATTATTAATATTATT